TGACCTGTAACTTTATAGGAATATTATACACACTTTTTGACTTTGTCTCTAGTCAGGTGTTTGTAAAGGAACAACAACAGCATGATGTACTAAGAAAATCGGCCAGTCCATGGCATACGATTAACTGATGCGCGTTGGCTGTCCCTGACCTTGACGAGGATCGATGATTTGCTCGATATTCAATGACCCAACTGCCGGATGATTTGGCTAGGGCTTAGTGACATTTCGCTGGCCCTACAATGTCATGGTGAAAGTAAGACATACGAAGGCTTAGAGCTTTTTTTCTGTAAAATAATAAACTTAGGGAATTTAGTGTAAGTCACTTGGGGAATGTTCATATGTTCAAAGCGAATTCCTAAAAAAATCATAAAACGTTGAGTAGGAAGACTTCATATTTCCCAAAATTCAATTTAAAATGTCAGGAGTTTCGTTCATTACAGATCTCAAATCTGTGTTTTACGAAGTTGATTTCAAAGAAATTGTAAAAAAAACCTGATGAATATAATGAGAAGTAATTTATGAAATGATTTATAATATCTTGATCACTCAAACATGCACTGAGTTAGCATAACGAAATAAGTTCGTTTTAGGATAACATAAACCCAGATATAAACCTCAAAGATTTCTGTAAGCCACGTAAAGTCACCATACCTGTTTTTGGTGTCATCACTATTTTCTAATAGTCTGTAGCGTGGTGTCGAGTTGAGGTATCCAAAGGATACCGAGATCGTGCCAGGATAGACGCTTGGTTACAGAACGTAACCGAATTCGCGCGAAGTTACAATCAAAGTGTGTGTATAAGAATGGAAGCAAAATATAGCTGTCATTAGCACAGTCAAACAAAAGCACATTAAAACAAGCACTGGTACAGTTGGTTATAATAATAATTGTTTTTATTAAACCAATCGTATTCTCGTGATAAATGTGAGTCCCTACAGGTCTATGTACGTGAAGATGCCACAAGTATTCGGAGTTTGACAACATTGTGGTGGACCAGACGATATATAAACGCAAAACGTATCAACAAAGTTAATAAAAATCAATAGTAATATTAATATATGCCAGTTAAATGTTACAAATACAATAAAAACGGGACTTTACTTAAGTTCACCCAAAATGATGCAAGTTCAGCTTTAGTCTGGTACAATAAATCCACAATTTTAAATACTGGGTAATTTCCAAACGTGTCGACGAACTCTCCAGTGGTGTAATCCAAAGTAAGGTATGGGGTATTCGCACTCACAGTCTATGAATGTAAATAATATTTGTTTTAGATCTCATTTAACTCAATCACGAATGAAAATAGAACGAGGAATGTGTGAGAAGCAGTGTATTTGCTAGCCAGAAACGGTATGTCACGCTATGTCAGAATCACAACGGAAAGTGTGTTCAAGATCATTTACTAAAACAACAATTACAGTCATTTAATGTTAAATATACATACAGTGGAAGGTTGACAAAATGAATACAAATAACATTGAAAACTATTTACAAAATAAGCTTGTCAGGCCTATCTCCACAACATCTTGGGCAGTAGCAGCTTTTAAAATCAAAACGTGCCAACCCAGTGAAATCAGTAGCGAAGAGGTTCGAAGATATGTTTGACAGAATATCGATATATCGAGAAGTGACCAATATAAGCTAGCTATCAGTTGTAGAAGATGTGAAATGCGGCGAACCCACTCGTGATCTGGTGTGGATGCGTGACCGAGTGCCTTCAGCTAGGTGAATCCATTAAAACTAATGCGGTCAGTAACAAATGTAAAAGACTCACAGAGCTATTGATTTTGCGGATCTATTTACTGCTACATACATATTACCCAATAGGAAACAGAAAATTTCAAAGTTCACTTCAGCATTTTGCAAGATTGGCTGTATAGTGTAATTTCACCGTCATATTTAATTAAAGTAGTATCTAATCTCTTTCGAACTTCCTGATTAACGAAGTATAGCTAATGATATCCGAAATAAAATAATAATTCGAATAGATAAATAATATAATTAATGTCATGGCGTTAGACATGTCACTTCCGATTGACAAAACATACCACTTATAACTGTCTACATTAGTAACACACGCCATAACATAAGACGAACCAAATTCATTCAAGCTATAATATATTACAATGATTCAACTAGTGAATTACTATAATATCCACAAAACTCCTCCCTGACTAAAAATGATATCACTAATTGTTATATTATTCATGTTATAAACAGAACTGTATGTGATAGGAAACCACTGAAAAAAAGAATCAACATTTTAGGTCATTGGTCAGTGAGATAGAAATTCTGTACTCCGAATTTCGGCTTAATGTACTGTGTGATTGATACAAATCTTACTGAACCGATCAGGGGTAGGGAGGAAGCATTTGGTGGTCTTTTCTGTTCGGTTTTGTATTTTTAGAAGGCAGTAATTATTTCATTTCAATATTAATTATATAGTCATAGTCTAAGCTTGATCTTCGTGCATTCCGCAGCTCATTGAATTGTAAAATTCTAGAGAAAGGGTAGCAATCATGTTTGTTATCAATCTGTATATTGTCAGTTATCGTACTGTATTCCTCTAGGTTCTATTATCAGTTAGATAGCATAGTACACCTTAATTATATACATATATGATTTGATTCTAACATAATGCCTTGAACTATGTTTTTGAAACACGAAAGAATGACCTAATGAGTCAACTCGTAGTTCGTTTGCTTATTTATTTGTTTAAAAACGTAAACATGGGTACAGGGCATGAAATAGATATGCGCCACATAAATTATTAGATTTGTTTGAGTGGTGGGATACTGCCAGGGTGCTCAAACCGAAGCATGTGGTTTTATTCGGGGGCCATATCCCGAGCCTACGACCTAAAGGTTTGGTCCACAAGGCAGTCCTATGATATCCGGTGAACAATAATCGGTTCATAATCCATTTATTCCCTTAGGATCCTGGTGTCCATGTGCACCACTGGTTTGGAATCAGGGTTTTCTAACTCCCCTAGGTAGTATCTGCATTTCCACCAACCCGGTTAAAGTGCCGGACACTCGCTTTTCATCCTCTCAATTTTTTTGCACGAGTAATGGTGCGAGAAGGCAGTGAATAGAACGTCCCTGTTAGTGGTTGT